TTCCTCCCCCCACACACCTCCATGTATTTCATCTAATAACGAATCTTTGTTTCATTTTTCTTATTAGAATTTTTTTTTTTTTGTTGTTGTTGTTAAGCACAAAACTACCCAGTGAGATATTTGTGCTGAGCCCACAAGGGGTATCGAAACCTGGTTTTTAGTGTTATAAGTGTTACCACTGAGCCACTGGGAGGCTAATCAGAAGGAGTTGAATTATTAAGGCTCTTTGTAACGAGTAACAAAATAATACTCGTAATCAGAAATTAAACACAAAACGAAACTATTACTTCTGTGGATTATCAAATTGGCGATTTTGTATGAGAAATGTTCATAACAACTTTCGACTGTTTTATAGGATTACTCAATATTTAGAGAAACGCTCGTTCATTTGTATAGGAGGAGAAGTTTTAAGGGATAAATGAAAGCTCTGGTCTTCTAACGTTAAAGGATTTCTATTGTTACTATTATGTTTATTTTTCATATTTTTTTCAAAATGTTTGATTACCTGAACTATATCTTGTACACACAATGAACTAAACGACCAAATCGGAGAACCATATGGTTCAGGCGTAGCTGTCCCTAATTTTGAGCTTCGGATCAGAGGAAAGGTGACCAGTCTGGAACACCCACCGCCTGAGGAGGCTACTCGTAAATCGAATAGTGGAAGTGATTATTACTCTTATAACTCATCCATAGCTGAAACTGTGCAAAATGCATTGCAGCACCACGTCTTGAACCATAGACCCTCGGATCCCTATAGTCAAATATATTAACCATTGGACGCAAAGGACCGCTCTTTAAAATTAACATGTTTTCTATAATTCGTATTCTTCTTCATATGAAATGGTAAAGATAATAATAATTACCGACAGCACATAGTCTCGAACTCGAAACCCTCGGATTCACAATTTTATATATATATATAATAACCATTAAGCCACGTTGAAAGCCAATGCTTCAAAGTAATATATTTTCTGTAATAAGTGACACAGCTAATAGTAGATTACTGACAACAATACGTTCCAAAACCGGGGCCTCGGATCCTCAGTTAGATATATTAACTATTAAGCCTCGTTCAGGACCACTGTTTCGAAATAACAGGGCTATTGTTTCAAAAAAACATGCTTTCTGTAATAAGTGACATACCTAATGATAGGGTATGCATATCTCTGCTAAAAAGGATTTCACATAGCAAAATAATTTTCTCACTTAATAGGTAATGCCTGTGAATACCTTTTTTCATAATAATAAGAATTCACTTTGTACCCCATATTTACATCACATTGTTATCGGTAAGTCAACCATGAGTTTCAAACCAGAGATAAAATTACAGCCCATCATTTGTGCCCCCCCCCCCGTGGCACAGCAGTAAGTCTGAAGACTTGTAACTCTAGAAAACGGGTTTCGAAACCCGTGGTGAGAACAGTACAGATAGCTCATTATGCAAGTTTGTTACAAAATTATCTGCCGTGAAACGCTAGCCAGTGTTATGTACAGTAACATTAATATACGATAACACTAATATCATACCAGTGTTAATGTATTTCTGCAAAATAAAAACATTAACATTGTCTAATTTGAAATAATAAATGTATTAATTCAGATATTACATAAAACATTGTACTTTTTTTCTCTAACACTCAACATATTAAGTCTGGTAAGATATCTAAATATTTAGAATATTATTAGTTTACAAGTGTAAAGTATTAAATAAACTCTCATTTTTTTAGCGTGTAGCAAAAACATCTGTATAATGTGATTCGTTTGTGGGTGTGAGATATTAAAAGTTTTTTTTTTTTTAGAATGTAGCAACACGTCTAGAATGTGGTTAGTTTGTCGGTGTGTGGTATTGAGCATTCTTCTTGTATGTGTCTTTGTGTTGTAGCAACGTAACTAGAATATATTGGTTTATGGATGTATGACATTACACAAACTTTCCTTTCCTTTAGAATGTGGTATTGAGCATTCTTCTTCTATGTGTCTTTGTGTTGTAGCAGCGTAACTAGAATATATTGGTTTATGGATGTATGACATTACACAAACTTTCCTTTCCTTTAGAATGTGGTATTGAGCATTCTTCTTCTATGTGTCTTTGTGTTGTAGCAACGTAACTAGAATATATTGGTTTGTGGATGTATGACATTACACAAACTTTCCTTTCCTTTAGAATGTGGTATTGAGCATTCCTCTTCTATGTGTCTTTGTGTTGTAGCAACGTAACTAGAATATATTGGTTTGTGGATGTATGACATTACACAAACTTTCCTTTCCTTTAGAATGTGGTATTGAGCATTCCTCTTCTATGTGTCTTTGTGTTGTAGCAACGTAACTAGAATATATTGGTTTGTGAATGTATGACATTACACAAACTTTCCTTTCCTTTAGAATGTGGTATTAGATACAAAACAAGAATAGTTGGAGGTAAAGAAGCTGATCCTCGGGACTGGTTATGGATGGTAGGTGAAATATAAATTCACTTTTTAAAATTGATGCTTTTAATCCTAGACTTATCAATGATGATCCATATGGGCCTCCTTGGCTTTATAAACAGATTTTTCTAAATTATCTATATCCCAAGTTGCTTGTGGGTTTGTGACTTTTCTGCTTATATTTAATCCCTAAGAACACGAGCCGCACAAAAAAAATGTAAGCAAAGATATAACCAATAGTGTATCTAATTTGACTTAATAATGTTAGTCTCTTCTGTGTGTTTTACACAGAAACTGGGTGACTTATTTTTTTTTACTTTCTTTTGTAAATACTTTACAACAGTAACAAACAGTAATATAACATTACTCACTATAGGTGGTTTAAGTGTTAAATACTATTAGTTTTCTACGTTTCTGAAGCTGTTGTTTAACATTTTAATGTTTTGTTTAATGCCTATAATATTTACTTAATTTAACTGAGTTTTTTGAAATCTTAAATATTGACATTATTACTTTTGTTTATGAAATCAACGACTTTCTTCTCAGTTTAACAGTTGTTACGATTTTTCTGAACAACTGAATGGATTGTACCAAAAATTCTTGCCCTTTTTAATTTTAGTTCGGGGTGTGCTAAAAAACTGCTCTCTTTCCAACAGGCCGCTTTGATACGTGGATCTCCAATTTTAAGAGGACAATTCTGTGGTGGGGCACTCATTAATAGAAATTATGTTGTTACAGCTGCTCACTGTACACAAGGGTAAGTCGACATTGGTATAAATTAAACCCTAAAAATGTCACTTCTCTAGATATAAAACGTCTTACCCAAGCATTTATGATATTCACAGATGGCGGGAAAATTTTGGTAAGCAGAAAGAATATGATACTTTGTATTGGTATTTCTAACCTGAGCGGCACCTTATGTGCACGTGAGCTGAACGGTCAGATAAGAAACTAATCCTAAAGTACTGATCAGAGGAAAGGCAAACAGTCAGCAGCACCTGCCGTCACAAGGTCGCTGTCTAGCTTTGAGACTAATAATAGTATTTACTGTCACTTCTAATACAATTGAATTAAGGAATATGTACAAGAGTATCGCGGCACAAACCTTGGACTTTACGATCTACAGCTTGACGAAATGAAATGTGGTTTTTGTGATAAAATAGTAAATTAACCTTTATAAAAATGAATACAGAATATAGAGTTTATTTAAAGTTCTCTTTCATAACATCATTAAGATGCTAAATAATTCTCGAAATATGATACAGTTTAAAATCAGAAGCTAGAGTGTTGATTGACAGCGACTTTATAAATCCGATGCTAAAAACAGTAATGGAGTTATTTGGAATCCTTTATTGAGAGTAATGTTGGTATTAAAATGGAGACCGGTGCACACTGTGTAAAACAGTTATTAAAGATAAACTTTATGCTGAGTATTATTTAATATAATCATAATTTTTGCAAAACGTATTAATTAACATCGATAAACCAGACACGGTGCACACTGTGTAAAACAGTTATTAAAGATAAACTTTATGCTGAGCATTACTTAATATAATCATAATTTTTGCAAAACGTATTAATTAACATCGATAAACCAGACACGGTGCACACTGTGTAAAACAGTTATTAAAGATAAACTTTATGCTGAGTATTATTTAATATAATCATAATTTTTGCAAAACGTATTAATTAACATCTATAAACCAGACACGGGAATAAACTTCAAACATCATTTTCTGTTACCAGAAACCATGGTAATTAGTATTACCTGTTCTTTTAAGACGACGTTGGACAGTGTCATTGGCGATGGTGACACTATTCTGCTTGGTTGTGTTTTCAGATTTTTGCGAGCCATTGGCCTTTTTAATTCTATTTAATTTTTTACCTGATTTTTTTGGGCATTGTTTAGCTTTTAGCTTTTCTTTTTACTTTTTACAGTTTTACTTTTTTGCATTTTTTTACCGGTTGTTTGGCACAAATAGACACCTTCCTTTGTGCCATAAACCTATATAACTACCTAAACAACCAATCTCATAAGATATATTGTAACCATATAGCAATACACGTTATTGCCGGTTTTGATTTCTTGTAAGAGGCCCGGCATGGCCAGGTGGTTAGGGGGCGCTCGACTCGCAATCAGCGGGTCCCGAGTTCGAATCCTCGTCACACCAAACATGCTCGCGTTATAATGTTACGGTCAATCCCACTATTCGTTGGTAAAAGAGTAGTCCAAGACCCTCTAGTCTTACACTGCTAAATTAGGGACGGCTAGCACAGATAGCCCTCGTGTAGCTTTGCGCGAAATTCAAAACAAACAAACAATTCTCGTAAGAAAATGTAACATTTATGTTTTTCAGAACTACCTATGACAAAGTTTCTATCTTACTGATATAAGGTCATTATTTACTTTAAAGGTAACAAAAAAAAAGTTCTATGGAATTTAATTTGTGTAAAGTAATTTTTTTAAATCAAAGTTTTATGGCTTATGTAGCTTTATGTATAAATGTGTACACGTGTATGTATATATCTGTGTTTGTGTCGTTAAAGTAGGTAAGAATAATGAGTTCTTATCCATCAAGACCTTTTCCTGACCTAGATTTCCACCACGTGTATTTTTGTGTTGTTTGGCTATTGCAGACATACAGGCTTTTGTACATTTAACATATAAATTTTTTCCTATTAAAATGGATATACAATGGAAGCCATTTAAACATAAGTCATGTATCAGGTTATCTTCTATATCCTTGTGGCAAGTAATTATTTTATAACATTTCCTGTCACAGGCTGTTTGAGCACATCCTCCTGTGACAAGCCATTTCTTCACACGCCCCTGTGGTGGGCTACCTTATCACATACACCTGTAACAGGTTATTTTGTAATGGTCCAAAATGAACACTCCGCCACAATCAGGTTTCAACAACAAAAGCTAATAAAAGTTTCAACGCAGTTAATAAACAAATGCCTGGTCAGGATTTCCCTCCAATATTATATTAATAAACAATTTATCATAAATATTCACAAATCAGTAATAATTGAATCAGGAAAAGGAACTAGAAGGAAAAAACCTTATTCCAAAAAATAAAAAATACAGCAAATACACTATTCAAACAATTCCTGTCATTATCAATGTCCTGAGCCTCTCTCTCTTAGCCAAGTAAATGTGTTTGTTGATTTTTATATGCAGAAAAGTATCCAGAATGGATTAAAACAGAGAGTAAAACTAATCTTAGTTTCACATTTCTATAGATTGTGATGGTCTAAAATAAATACGCCGCTACAACTAGGGTTCAACAACAAAAAAGCAATTTATTCACAAATAATAACACTTGGAAATAAATACAACACGTAACAAAACACAGTTAATAAACACGTGCCTGGCCAGGACTTGACACTAATGTTAATGAACAATATATCATAAATATCAATATTATTTCAAATAATGGAATTGGAAAAAAGAACCAGAAAGAAAAAAACAATTCCAATCAACACAAAATAACGTTCAATGTTAATAACAATATCGATAACTCGCTAATTGTATTGTTCACTAACTATCTTGTGACTCTCTCTCTTAAAGAAGCTTCTGGCAGGGTATTTATTCACTGAGTAGGTCACGAGAGTACACCTCATGTGATCATAAATTTACATAATCTTCTGCTACATTAATAGTATCTGTACGTCACCGCTAGGGAAGCTGGTGCCAGTTTCATCATACACACATATATTTACTCAACATACAAATGATTATGCAGAAGGTGAGATAGTGTTTTAATGCAACTAAAAATTCATAGATAAACTAAACGATAGAAGGAAATAATAAATGACCGATACACACAATCATAACACAAAAAAAAATAGAATTTGCTATCTCACAATTTCAACATGTCTCCTTTTGCCCGGTTATTTTATCACATCCCCATTGGTAGGTTATTTTATCACATTTTCTCAAGTAGATTGAGGCCACAATACTATTTGGGTTTTTGCACGCTAGGTTTAAGCTCAACTTCTGGTGCAATTGCACACCTCTTTCGACTTCAAGAGATACAGAGCCACGGTGATAATTTGCTACGTACTCCAGCCGTTAATGAACAAACTATACATTATACGATTTCTTAGATAATAAAAAAAGAGAAGGCGAAATTACAACTATTTTATTTGAACACACGGTACCAAAAAATTTTTTTTTTCGAAAAACTGTCGAATTATACTTATTACCTAAAGAGTGACGAGTCTCATGTTGTGTTTTGCTCTTCATATTTATTGTAGACTTACCATAGATCAGATGAAAGTCCGATTAGGTGAGTACGACTTTAGCAAGAAGAATGATAACTCTCCGACGGATGTCGCTGTTACTGAAATAATAAATCACCCAGATTTTGACAAAGTCAGCTATTACAACGACATTGCGCTATTGCGGCTAGCAAAGCCTGTTGCGTTCTCAGAATTCATCCAGCCAATATGTTTACCACATCCACGCCATGACCTACGGAATAAAATAGCGACAGTTACTGGTTGGGGAACAGTGTCTTATGGTTAGTATCAGTTGTATGTATTTATTTATTTATGAAGATAAAACAGAATTTCTTTTCCTTTTATCATTTAAGGGAAAGAAAGCGTAATACAACGGGATCTTCTTACCTTGAACTATTAAAACAAAATCAGGTAATTAGGTCATAAACCCAACACGTTTATTTGTTTGTTGGCCCGGCATGGCCAGGTGGTTAAGGCTCTCGACTCACAATCTGAGGGTCGCGGGTTCGAATCCCCGTCA